AGGCAGCCAATTTCCGTTTCCGCTGAGATATGATTTCCGTTGGTACTCACAGATACAAACGGGCGCGCGCGGGTGCGTCGGTGCGAATTGCACACCGCGCTATAATACGTCGGCTGCAGCGGCAGCGGCATAGCATCGCCTCGACGATCGTCGGCGTCGTCGTCGTCGTCGTCGTCGCAACTCGCGTGCACGTGTGTGTGTGCGTGTGTACTATATATTGTGCGTCAAAGGTGCACCTTCCAATTAATCGGGGCATCCGTGCAGAAGTCGCAGCAGCAGCTGCAAGCTGCAAGCTCGTACGCGCACGCACGTATACACACATATACAGCTCGACAATATGCGCTATAAGCATCGGGGTCTTTGTAGCCATGCGAATTGCGCGCAGTACAGAAAGTGAAAAGATACACACACGCAGCAGCAGCAGCAGCAGCACCAGCAGACACAAACGCGTTTGCGTGCATTAACTCTTACACACTACTGTGTATAGTACACTACAGAGCTTGCAGAGAGAGGGAGAGACAGTCGGTCGGTGTGATTACGCGGCCCAGAGATTACCGAGTTAAAAGTTTCAAGAGTCGCGCGCGCCGCTTTCACAGAGGCAGAATTGTCGGGGGCAATATACTGGGTCGGTGCCCGCGCATGTGTAAAACGCGCGCCGCGTCGCGCGCCGTGTATTATTGCAATTTGACAATCAAGGACTCGAGTTGCCGCGGCCGTTACATGCGTTCGTCCGTATGTACTACGTCGTCAACAAGCCCCAACTTTATCCGCATATATGGCGCTCGTTCTGTATGTGTGTGTGGTGTGTATACACTCGGCCGCGCAAATCGTCCACTTGACGCTGCCGTATGAATGCGTGTCTGTGTGTGGTCAGCGTATATACTATACACGGACCCGACAAACGTAGTACTCAAAGCAATCAGAGCTTTTACGTATATGTATCCTATGAATGTGTGTACGCGTGTGCGAGAACACAGAGAGCGACGGGTCGGGCTCTTGAACAACTCGTCGTGCTTGATTAGCCGTGTGGACGCTGCTGTTGCTGCTGCTTCTGCGACCGACCGAATTTATTATAAGCTACATCGTGTGTACTGAAATTTTGGGCTTTCTCCGGCACATCTCTTTGTCGAGCGTACTGCGCGCTCGAGAGAGATGCTAACGTACGACGCGCTTCTCGCGCGATTTGACATTCAAAGTGGTCGCCGCGACGCTAACGACGCGACAGGAAGCTGATCCGGTGGATCATCTCTTTCGTCTACTTCCTTAATTTTTTTTTTTTTTTTACTTCGTCAGACGAATTCCTTGGTCTTGTGTACGTACAATAAATAGATGTATATTCAAACGAGACCAAAAGGACCTCTAGCTTTGATATATATTTAGGAGGGATGTACTCTAGGAAATTAAAGCTCTCGCGAAATAGGTTTCGAGTAATAATAATCGTAGCCTTTTTCTTGTCCGCGCACACACACATACGTACACTTCGCGAGCGTAAAAGCCAGAGGGGGTACTTGCTGCGTTCTCGCGCTCGCGCGCTAGAATTCATTAAATGTTCGCCGAGGGTTCGAGGTAGCTGCACCGCCGCTGCCAGATACGACACGGGTAGAATGATAGCAAGAAAAGTCATCAAAGGTATTATAATTACATTATTAATTTCACTTTTAATGATGAAGTTAACTTTATACTTGTCGCTCGCGCCGCGCCCCGAGATTGTAACGAAATTTAATAAACGGGGAATACTCTCTTTCCCGTTGCGCTGCCGCTACTACTGCAAGCTCTCTAGCTTTGTCTTTCTCTCTGTCTTTCTGTGACCATCACTCGCTGATTCACCATAATGTAATTAGTTAATCTTTTAAAATTGAATCCCGCGAGCACTTCCCCCAAAAAGGAAATAAATCTTTTAAACGTGTATATAGCGCGAGCGCAGTGCGATAGAGAGAGAGAATATCTTTGAAAAAAAAAAAAAAAAGAAAAGAGCGAGAGCTGGGACTGATTTATCGCGCGCGGCAGCCATCCAATTAACACTGACGGCGGCGTATAGGCAGCACCGATTGCGTTAAGCACAAGGGACGAGATGCACCACTGCTGCTGCTCATACCCATATTTTAATTCAAATTTAATCGAAAGTAAGAGCTTTGTCATTTGCGCGCGGCGCGCACTCGAGGCCTTTGTGCTTTCGCGACGCCGACATTTCGCAGTCCAAGAAGAGAGCAAAAAAGAAAGAAAAAAAAGAGCTCTAGAGAGAAAGAGCATAGCGCGCGCGTGGATAACAAACAAACAGAGCACGAGACAAAGAGAAGAGAGAGAAAAAAAGGCGGAGAACGCTATCTTTCTTTAAGTCGAGAGGAGGTGAGGAAAAACGTTTTATGAATGAAGACGACGCTGCCGCTGTTGCTGCCTGCTGCCTGCCTGGCGCTTGCGTTACAATCGTTCTCGAGAGACATCGCGCGCGATGAGTTGACTCTCGTCGTCGCGCTTCGCAGCTTATTTCGGACGTTATTAATAAACAGCACCCCGTAGCCGCGAAATAACAGAGCTATCTCCTTGTTTTCTCGTTAATCCATAATAACAATAACAATAATAGTAATATCGTGTAATATGCTGGAAAATCATTGCTGCCCGGCGGCAGAGTATATAGTTCATAATTCATTTTTCATCGTAGCGCGGGAAGGGTAATTAATCGAGGCGAGCGCGTTTCGGCCCTTATATAGTCCATAAATTCATTGGCCGACATACTTCCTCTCGTACTCCACTCATTCTCTCCCTTTTCCTTTTCGATTATTGGCGGCGGTTGGGCATATCGAGTACCATACCGACGCGTGCGTGTGTGCTGTGTATTATTATATACACACATCCTCCTGACCGATCCGCTACGAGGCGCAGATTTACGATGTCATCGCGAGCGTTTTCACCCCTCGCGCGCGTGTGTGTGTGTGTGTGCTGTTTGAGCTTCGATTTTTTTCTCTCTGCCCCGCAGTCGAGCATCACTTTTGCGAGATGGGGGGCTCTTCTTTTTTTTCCATCTCTTTCTCTTTTCCAGTTGTTATGTAAGTTTCAAAGGAGAGAGAGAGAAAGAATGGGTAAAACTGGGCTTGACTCGTGAAATCTCGATTTGAAAAAGTTCAATTGGAAAATATGCTCGCTCTCCCGCTCGCTTGCCTGCCTATACCTGCCTTGCGTTCTAGCATACATACATCATATATATAACGTACGTATGGGGTGAAAAAGGGCCGCGGCGCAAAGACTCTCTCTCTCTCTCTGTGCTTTGCAAATCCAGTTTCGTGATTCGTTTAAATCTTCCAGATCCATATTTGTAGATGTACAAAAAAAAAAAGCAGGCAAGGCCTCGATTAAAAATCGTTCTCCGAATTCTATTATTTTCCCTGTATTCGCGCGGGAAAAAAATAAAAAAACTTTGAAATTGCATCGAACTTGTTTCTGCGAGGCAAACAAAAAAAAAAAAAGAAGAATTCACAGGCGTTTCCATGCGAGCACGCACTTCTGTATTTTTTCTCGCTTTGCTTTCCTCGCCCCTGCTGCACAGACGACGCTATTCCACAAAGGTTCTCGAGAACGTCTTAACCCTCGCCACACGTAGTGTGCGTCTGTACACGTTTGTGCGTGTGTGTGTGGGGGTGGGTGGATGAGTGCACGCGTTGTGATACACGAGAGATGGTGTATACAGGGAAGCAAACGACGACGTGTGCGGCGCCCTTCTATACATACATATTCCCAGCAGAATCCATACAATAGTATTGCCACGGTGCACCTCTACATATATATTTATGTATATAATAATACGACGCATGAGAAGCTGTTATGTACGTGCGTATGTGAGTGTGTGTGAGAGAGCCAGGGTGTATTATTATCCTATATAAGCTAGAGCCCGTTCCTCCCGCGCGCCTTCGTGAGTTATTGCCCCTCTGCAGACATGCCTCTGCGTGCGCGTGTACACGTTGTGTACGTGTGTTTGTGTGCGTTGTGTGGAGCTACTTTCGCCTACCTGTATACGCCGTCGACGCCTCCTCTCCCCTCAGGCATAATTCAACACTCCGTGCACAAGACGCTAGTGATTCTTTCTTGCCACTGCTGCTGCTGCCGCTTCTTTTTCTTCTATTTCGCAGGCATTAGATAAATAAACTAGCGAGCTCGCGATAATCGTAGCAATATTAACTCCTGAGTGACAGACTCTTTGCCGAGAGTCCGCTCGCGAGCGTAGCTGAGAGTACGACAGGCTTAGGCGATTGTAGAAATCAAGTATAAAAAAAATTTTATCTGTGGAAATGTATGTATTTTGACTGTTTAGTGAAATTTTGATTGTTATATTCATTAGAAATTTGGTAACGAGATGTATCAATATTTTTTCTACAACTTGACTACTTCGAGTTAAATTATAAATAAAAATTCAATGCTAATATGGACAAGTAAGATTCGTTACCCGAAGTTGTACGAATGATTAAACATACACAGTTTAAAAATACCTTAAATTTGAAGCAGATTCAAGGTAAAATGAAAAACTTGAATTTAAATAACCCATATTGATTTTCATTTAAGGTACTTTTACGTTTGAATCAACATTGATTTCTTTTTTAACCTAAACTGTTCAAAAATTAAGAAAAATGATTTAACTATTTACTGATATTTGAATTTTTTGACCGAAAAATGATGTTTCAATACTGATTTAGTTTTTGCGTTAATTTTACTAGAAATGTATGATAATTCAATCATAATGAACGCCAGCTTTCACCACTAGATGGCGAGTAACTTTATCTGTAAATCTGCAAGTGACACAGTGGAAATTATTGTATATATTGTAAAAGCATCATTTTGCAATCGAAATTCACGCAGAAAATATCACTAATGTTTTTTGTAATAAACCATGAAAAATTCTCAATTAGCATTTCAAAAAACTTTTATAAACGTGCGTGATATTATGAATTTCCCGCAATTTGTCTAGAGCAACATTTCAATGTTTACATCGCCGACTCTACATGCCGACAGTGTTATGAAACGTTCTCGCGAAAATTTGACTACTTACATCGTGTCAGTTGATCTTGACACAGCCGGGCCAAATTATACGCAGCAGTTAATTTATAACTTGGTTTTAATAGAAGTACACAGGGCAAGTGTTTAAAAAGAAAAGTAACGATAAATATGAAGATCAAGAGTGTAAAGAAATGCTCTAAAAGAGCATGTAAAAATAAAGAAGAAAATAGTAAGATAATGGTATTACCTAAAGGTCGGTCGATTGAGGATTTAAATGTATATTGCATTATGGATATATTCCGTTACTTAGAACCAAGTGATCTCATACATGCAGCGGAAGGTTAGTGAATACGTTATGAAATTTACCGTTCTATTTTTACTATCTTGTCATTTATTATTGAAAGTTGTGGTATTCTGTACAAACAGAAATTTTTGTATTTTGATTTTTGTGTCTGACACTTCTTAGTTAGCCGCTTATATGAATATTGCTCAATACGACTAAAATAAATAAATATAGCACATATCACATTGAGATCGTCTGGAATCGAGAATCGGAATCGACTCCTTGTAGAGTAACCGAAAAATTAACCGATTTTTCATACATCGAATCGATTCTTGGGAATTGAATTGAGTCGGACATCTTTAAAACACATCGCGAAATACGAGCTAATCGACTCGCTTAAAAATGAATTATTTAAAAAAAAAATCAGTGTGATAGCTAGTCCAGTAATACAAGCACATCCACACATTCTGTTTTTATGAATTTGACAATGCGTATATGAGATGAATTATGCGATAATAATTATAATACTCATATTTTTCAGTTTGGCCCGGATTGAAAGAATTTTCTTGTATGTTCATGAAAAAAGTTACAGCGACGCAATTCGTTCAATTTATATTAGAACAAAAAACCGTGGATGATATAAAAAAAATATTTCCCTATTTGAAGTATTTGCCTCATATTATCTTAAGCCAAGGCTGTCATCAGCCCTCCATATCCACACAAGATTTTGAAAAATTATGTCATGAAATTTTCGAATTACTAAGTAAATCGAAAATTGATTGTTTAAAAAGTTTGGATTGGGATTTTCAAATTCCGCAAGAGTTGGTTCAAAACTGTTTTAAAGCTATTATTCATAATTTAGAGGTAATTGATATTACGGATTTTAATCGTATCACAATATCTTCAAATGATATTAGGAGTTGGCTACAAAATGCTAATAACTTGAAAGAATTTAATTGGGAGATCAATTCTGAAGAACAGCAAAACTTTTTATTGCCAACTTTAGAATGTTTACCAAAAACATTGAGGATTATAAGGATATGTATTTTAGGAAACGTTTCTCGTCCGATATCTGCTGAATTATTGTTCGAAGTAAGTTTCTTAAAACTCAATGATCATGTTAATTTAACAAGCATCCTCAAATTTTCTTCATTTTGTTTAGCATTTGAATCAAATGTCCGATCTCGATAATTTGGTATTGAGCAAGTTGGATTTTAAGTTGACAAATGAAAGGTCGTTTCATACCACTGCAAGAACAATGTGTTTTGTTTTAAGCCGTGGTACCAATTATAGCTGCCTCCCAGTGAATCCAAATTTGAAAAAGTTAACACTCGAGAGTGGCATCTTGACTGACAAGAATTTAGATTTTATATTGGAAAATTATTCTTCACTGGAGAAATTAATATTAAGTTACCTCGATACAACGGAAGCTGTAATCGGTCATTTCTCTCAACTCGAACGATTGAAAATACTGAAATTCGAATACATGAACGATTGGATAGGGAGTACATTGAAGTTTTTCACCAATTTAGAAGAGCTTGATATAACATATTGTCGGAATTTTAGAAAAGAATTTTTATACGATTGGCTCCCCCGTGCAAAAAACCTGAGGCTTCTCAGAGTAAAACAGCACGATGAATGCGAGTGGGACGAATTGATAAGAAATGTGAAAGATAGTTCTCGCGTCAGAAATCAACAAGTAACTATTGAAGTAGGAACAGAAAAAAAAATAACAATAACTATAATATAATATATATAATATAGTTATGTACAATATATGTACAGTTATCTATAATCATATGTACTATATTATAATGTATGTAATACATACTACATGTAACTTTTGTTCATTAGAAAAATATTTTTCTATATATTTCTGTATTTAAAAAACATCGATCTCAAAGAAAATAAATCATACATGGTATGATATCAGTCAACGTTCAAATTAATGATTTAAATTTTTTTTACAAATATCATACTTTCCACTATCAATGCTCATCGTTTTTTTCTTACTTTCTCGTAAAACATACAACAGAACATATCTCTGGAATTATAAAGTTCAATTGGTCTATACAATCACTCGAACTCGTATGTATTTTTAATGCAATATACATAAACGAATACGCTGGACATTTGGATTTATTTGAATTTCGGTTACGTTCTACAGATTTACAAGACAGAGAGAGAATAGGGGAAAAACAAAAAGAGGAAAGTGGGATAAGCCGAGGAATTTGTATGTGGTTTTGTCACCATCGGGGAATACCGATACGTTTCCTCTCTCTCTCTCTCTCTCTCTCTCTTTCTTTCTTCCTGCCACCTCGAGTTAATTAATGTTCGACGTCGTTACGCATTCGCGGTTAAACTTCGCCGTTTCTGCTCTGCTGCATTTGTATAAAAAAAAAAAAATTATTTTACCGCCTTAAAAAAAAAGGAACGAATAAATAAATCCACGGCTTTTTACAAACGTACACGCGAAAGAGCTGCTGCCGCCACCGCCGCAACTACACACAAGATCGCGCGTGGCAAAAACAGGGTCTTCTACGCGTCGTCATCGTCGTCGTCGTCGTCGTCTTTTATATCTTAAACTCTCCGCCGCACACTGCACTCGGCCACTTCACACGAAGAAAACGAGGACGAGTGGCGAGTTTTAATTTTACAGAAAAAAAGAGAGAAGAGACGCGGCTGCTGCTGCCGCTTCCCCTTCAGCCCTTCTCTCCCTTAGTAGTAGTACTACCCAACCCCCGCGCACACGGGGTGTATAACGCGCGGCTCGTCGTCGTAGTGCCGGGGGTAATTACCGAGGCAAAAGAGGAGGGCAATTTCACGGCTAACATGCATATATTTAAAAACGAGAGAAAGGGTATATATAGAGAGAGAAAAAGGAAGAAGAGGAGGTAGGGGGTCGGATTTGTTGCTCGCAGCGCAGTAGCAGCAGTAGCGCCACTTGTTCCTTTAGCCCAGCAGCGAGGTTGCTTTCATGCACCGCTGCCGGGTGCTCTCTCTCGTGCAAGAGAAGGGCTTTTGAACGATGTTTTTCGGGCGTTGTTTATCGCTCTAGAAGATCTCTCCCTGGCCGTGTGGCGCGCGCGCGGGGTCAGATGCCGCCGCTGCCGCGACGTTATATATATACGCTGCAAGCTGCATGCACACGAGCTTTTTAGGGATGCTAATGCTCGACTTGGCTACTACTACTACTACTACTATACATGGAGGCGCTTGACGACGACAGCCGTATACACAGCAGCACGCGTACATTATATAGCAGACACAAAGTTTAGCCGCCGCCACTGCTGCTGCTGCTGCTGTTGCTTTTTCAAGGATTTTAGCATGCGCCAGGTCAAGCTCTAATGTAAACCGTAATTTTTTCCTCTTTTTTTTCCCCCTTACACCCCTCCCTCTTTTTACATCTCTCGAAGTACCTGAAAAAACACAGCTCGATCGCGTGTGCCGCCTGCTGCCTGCATAGCGTCGCAAGCTCGCTCGCCTATATATATCTATACACAAACACCAGCAGCAGCGTTACACCAGCGCGGCATAGTAATGTTTTTAGTTCGAATTACCCCGGCGGCGGCGGAGGTTTTTAAACTGCCGCGCGAAGCGATCATATATTTCTTTCTTTTATTTATATCCGAACGGTATACGCTCGCGAGAGAACCTTTTATACATACACGTTTATATAGATAGATATATAATGGGAGAAACTGCGCGACGTTTTATCTTCGACGGGGTATATAGTACTTTGAACTTTTAGTGCGCTGATTGGAAATTAATGACGCGACGAGTACGTGCGAGAGACGCTGTGCAGTGCCTGTATGTATATATAGCAGCGGTAGTAGTTCTTCGATCTTATATCACTGCGACACACACACAGACACATTCGGAGAGAAGTAGAGTATATAGGGGTAATTTCTTCGGGGTGTATACGATCCGCATCCGCGCGCGAGCAGCATAAGAAAAAAAAAAGAAGGAAAAATTCGATCTCGCGGCGAGCGCGATATAATACGATAAATAAAAATTTTTTTTTCTGTAACCTCGCACGAATGTTGTATATATGCATCTTATAAAATCATATTCGCTCGCTCGCGCTGTTTCTCTCCTTTCGCGCCGTGTTATATATAAATGGAGAGAGACTCTTACACACTCGTGCGCACACATCTTCAAGTTTACCTTTTACGATTCGTTTATCGCGTACGACGACGACGACTTGGCTTTTTACGTTCTCTCTCTCTCTCTCTCGCGAGTAGCGCCGCAGCAGAGAGTGTAATCTTTACGATCTCTCTCTCTCTCACTCGCGTACACACGTGCGCGCGGGTGGGCGAGCGAGCACGAAATTGCCGCCGCCGCCGCCGACTTTGCATTTTTTATTACGGTTCGCCTCTGTGCGTAGTACCACTACCGCTGCAGATTTATCTTCCCTTTTTCAAAGCCGGGAGAGAGAGAGAGGAACGAGTACGAAGTGCAGTAGGAAAAAAAAAAATATCAATAAATATGTGCAGTTATTTTCTTCATTTTTTTTTTCTGTTTGCTTCGCACGCGCGTACACGACTTATTTACGCGCCTTATATATCACGCGTGTGTGTGTGTGCGTGTATATGCAATGTAAGAAGCAGAAGCCCGGCGCCGTGTGTCGTCGTCGTCGTCGTCGTCGTCGTCGTCGTCGGTATACGTATTTACTGCATTAATTACTGTATGTAGAACACGTATATGGCGCTGTTCGAGATTAGAAACTTGTAGTACGCAAGGTGCACTACCACTACTACCACTGCTGCTGCTACGTACGAAGGCGACTGCAAGGGAGGACCCGTGTTATCTAATCTTGAATATTAACTTCCGCTCTCCGAGGCGATGTGCTTGCGAGTGAGAAACATACCGTTCTCTTATTATATATATATATATATATATATGGCGATGCTCGTTTGCATATACATACATAACGTTGCGCGCGCGCGACATAAGGAAGTGTGTCGTTCGCGGGCTTTTTTTTCTCTGTGTGCATGTGTATACGAATGGCTTATTTGTCATTTCGAGCGTACGCCACGACGGTTCAATTCATTAATTTCCTTTTCGCTGTTCATTTATTTAATTTTTTTTGCGGTCGGACGAATTGCCGCGCGAAAATTATCGAAAGCTCGGAGCGAATCGAGCGCGCGCATGGCAACCAGCTGTTACGGACGCGGTAAATTTTTTCGCCTTCTCTCTCTCTCTCTCTATCGCTCCTCTACACGCGCCGAGATGATCTGTCGAGCTTATCATATTTTCCATCCCCGGCACGTATTTGATCAGACGTGATCCCGAAGTTTTAACCGGTGCGCGAGCGAGAGCGAGCTTGCAAGGCCAAAATAAATAAAAAATAGAAGAGAGAGAGAGAGAGCAGAAAAAAAAGAAAGAGGAAAAGAAAGAAAAGATTACAGGAATCAAGCACGATCTATTATTTGCCGTTATCAAACGAAGTAAAAGGAAGGAGAAGAAAAAAAGAAAAGTAAAAGAAAAGCAAAAAGAAAAAAGAGAGGAATTGTATATTAATAAATTGAGGTACAAAAAAGTTGCATCGGTATCTATTCAGGGAGCTTGCGCGAGAGGAGTTAGATGTTATTACGGACTCGTCTAGGAGGACGACTTTTCTCTCTCTACCCCCATAAGAGACCCCCCAACTCGGCAATTTACACCGATCAGCGAAACTCCCGAAGTATTATGTGTCTCACCTCTCTCTCTCTCTTACTCTCTTTCTCTCGCGCCACGAGCAGCACCGCTGCAAGATAACGGTGTGAGATGGTGCTGCTGCGCTTGTCCCAGCGGACCCGTCAACGCGCGCCAAAAGTGCGAGCTGTGCACCCACGGGCCCCCGCGAAGTAAGAGAAAGAGCTTTCGTGGGGGGAAGAAAATAAAAAATCTCGGGGCTCCGTATATACGTGTGCGCGGGGATTCGGTTCTTTTGAAAGAAGCGAAAATCGATGCGCTACTTGGCAACTGTATGTAAGATACGTTGGTATGTATACATACTACGTACCTGAGCGATCGTAACGAGCTGTTATATACGTTGTACATTACGGCTGCGGCCATAAAGAGCTTTCGAGTGTGTGTGTGTGTGTGTGCGGTGCGCAGATATCTCTCTTCGCAGCAGAAGCGGCAGTGGTGCATGGACAATGGGTAAAGTTGTCCAAGAGAGAGAACGATTTGATGACTCGCTGAGCTTCTCTCTCTCTCTCTCTCTCATAGGGCAACTTTACAGCGAGAGAGAGAGAGAGAGACAGAGAAATGGCGCAAATTCAGCAGTATAATGTTGTTAGCCGAGTGTTTACAGATGCTACTGGCGTTGTCTCTCTGTACTGCTGTTAGTGCTGCTGCTTCTGCTGCTGTGAGTTGTATCTATCTATATAGGCATCCATAATATACATGCATAAGCTGCACTGTCAAAACTTGGACCTCGTCGCTCTGTGAAATCCATTAATATTGCGGTTGGTCGAGGAAAGAGAGAGAGAGAGAGAGAGCGAGAAGGGAGAGCGATTATTAGATTATCGTCAGATACAGAGGAAGAGAGAGAGAGCGAGAGACGAAGATAATGCGATTGAAATAGTTGACCGGTAGCCTATATATAGTCGAAGCAGCAGCCACAGTAGTCCAGTGTTAAGCAGTGGTACAGTAGCTACACACAGCTCAGTCCATTGCCTCGCTGCGATGGGCCAATGAATTTACAGGCATTTAAATTACCGCATCAGCAGCAGCAGCCCATCGAGAGAGCGAAAAAGCTCCATGCGCAAGATTGAGATATTTATCGGCGAGAGACGCATAAAGTAGCTACCTGCTTACTTACTTCTCTCTCTTTCTCTCTGTCGCGAAAGAAGAAAAGCCGGGGGAAAAATAAAAAGTTTCTCGTTGTTTGAGGAACCCCCGCATCGTCGTCGTCGTCGTCGTGAGTATAAATCCAAATGTGCGCGTTAACATCGG